CTGCGGGAATGCAAACTGGCCGGAAGCCTTGCTCCAATTGCAAGCCAGCTGAAGGAAGGAACATGAACGTGGCAAAAAGTGCATGAAGTTCATTGCCAAAGAAGCTTCTAAGGTTCAAAGAAGCTGTCGGTTCGTGCCGGTCAGTTCCCGAAAGCTCCTCCGCAGTAGCATCTCGCGTGATACCCAAGATGTCGTAATAGTTCTGTGCCATGGCCAGTGTCCAGTAGTGTGGGCACCAACTTGGAGGGCACTTGGCCAGCTGCTGGTTGGCTAGCTGGTTGGCTGGCTGGGGTTGGCTGGGCAGGTTGGCTGGGCAGGTTGGCTGGTATTGGGGGTGTGCGTATGTATGCTCTGCATGTTGGCCCTTCTCTGAGTTTGACGCGCAAGTAAATCTACGCTTTCAATGTGCCATGACATGCGCCTAGTAGCTCGATCGTTGCATCGGGCTGTCGTCACTGATGCACAAAGAACCGACTTCTCGGCCACGCGATGGCATGGCCACAGGGAGGAATTTCACTGCACGTGAGTGTCTGACGTTTAGCCACACCGTCAAGAAAGCCTGGAAGAGTTTCTGCAAGGAGATCATGCGAATGAAGGCAAAGCGAATTCAAGGCGCGTGCCCATAGAATATGAATCAAATGCCCATGTTTTCCTAAACCAGCCCAACAAAACAAAAACGTGCACACAAGCAACATTTTACAACGAAAGCCTGATTCCAGCCCAGCCTCGCAGCTGGGGTCCCTGCAGCCCATGCGTTTGCCATGTGTGCAGAAGCTCGCGTTTTTGTTGCCTCGCGCGTTGCTCCGCAGCAAGGCGGGCGAGCCAGGCGAGCGAGCGCCGGCATGCAAAATTTGAGCAGCATACCCGCTCGGGCGCAGCTCCCACGCTCGGACTACATTTGCCTGTTGCTCTGAAGCTCTGGTTCAGCATCTTCGTGTCTGCGCCAAAGCTTGGGAGCTCTCGAGCCCTGACGCTTTGATTGAAGGCCCAGACCGGGACCGAGACAAAAAACGGAGGATGCAGGGACTTACAAGGGACGACCAAGGGACCGGAAACTCGGACGGTTAGCTCAGTCAAACAAGGCCATTTTCTGCCCGCAACGGCCAGCCGCAGCATCCCCGCTGTGCGACTGTCCCTGGCCAGCAACTTCTCGCCGCGGCGCAGAGCAAGTGGGAACGCGCCTTCCCCTTAACTACGCAACACGGCGCTGCCGCCTGATCGTGTTCATGGTCAAAGGTGGGGGCCGTTTGGGGGACGGAGGCGGACGCCTTTTTGGCCTGGGCGCCCGCGCACGCACCCCAACTCCGCAGGACTGACGCTGCCGGCAACGACCAGCGCCCCACGGCACCTTCCGAACTCGCCACGGAAAAATATGTCTGGAAGGAGGGGGGAACAAACATGGATTTGAGCGTCAAGTCTACTCCATGAGGCAAGTGAAGCAATTCCCTCCACCCTACACGCATAAAAAGATGACATGGAAAAAACTTTGACAACCTCAGTAGACAAAAACTCGCAAATAAAGAAACACAACAAACACAACAAACACACTCCCCCGAGCCGGCGTGAGCTCTGTGACGGTGTGCTGCCGACCTTGCAGGAAGACGGGCCCTCCACCTTCGATCGCGGATGGCAAGGGGCCGCGGCATCAGCTGTTGCCCGCCGCCAGTGTGAGCAGCTGCTCTCCACCTTGGACCCATCCAGCGAGGCCTTGCTCCGGTCACAGCAGGGCCCCTTCGCCAGCCGCTTTTTGACCACCGTGCCCACGTGCCCCGCCCTGTCCTATCCTTCCCACTTGTTCCGTGTCCTCCTTCTCAGGCGCCTGCGCCTTCCGCTGCCACTTTCCCAGCGCTACTGCCGGTGTCGTCACCCCTTGGACTTCCTCGGCGACCACCGCGCAGCCTGTGCTCGGGCCGGTGTCCTCCGGAGCCGCGGGTGCCCTCTCGAGCGGGCCGCCGCGCGAGTGTGCCGCGAGGCCGGGGCGAGGGTGACTTGCAACACCCGCTTCACCGTCGGCATACCTGAGTGCCCCCGCCCGCTGGGCGAAGGGCCCCCGACCTCGACGGCCAAGACAACCAAGCGTCCGCAGCTATGTTACGGACGAGTGGACGGACGAGTGCGCGGTTGGACGGACGCACGGACGAACGCACGGACGCGCGCGCGCACGCACGCACGCACGCGTAAGGGCAGAAATAAGACCATTTTGTGGCTTTACAAAATCTTATTTCTGTACGCGCGGGCCCGTACAGAAATAAGACCTTTTTTAAGACCATACAAGTAAGGTCCGGCAGAGCCGGGGGGCGGAAGTTTCAAAGCAGTGAACAACTATAGTTTGGAGAACTGTCCTTGGCCCCTTGCTTCTCTTTCTCTCTCTCTTTTTCTCTCTTTCTCTCTTTCTCTCTTTCTCTTTCTCTTTCTCTTTCTCTTTCTGTTTCTCTGTCTCTTTCTCTCTCTTTCTATCTATCTCTCTAGCTATCTCTACATCTGTTTATTGATCTATCTATCTACCCATCTTTCTCTGCACTTAAAAGTTGCGATGTTCAATCCCCGAAAGTTGACTTCGCGTACTACTTTCGTACTTAAAAGTTGCGATTTTCGAGCCCCGGCTGCGAAAGTGGACTTTGCGCACTACTTTCGTACTTAAAAGTTGCGATTTTCAAGCCCCAGCTGCGAAAGTTGACTTCGCGTACTACTTTCGTACTTAAAAGTTGCGATTTTCAAGCCCCGGCTGCGAAAGTGGACTTTGCGCACTACTTTCGTACTTAAAAGTTGCGATTTTCAAGCCCCAGCTGCGAAAGTTGACTTCGCGTACTACTTTCGTACTTAAAAGTTGCGATAGATCTACCTATCTATCTACCTCTCTATCTCCTATCTATCTATCTACCTCTCTATTTATTTATCTCTCTATCTCTTTATCTATCTAGCTAGTTATTTGTCTATCTATCTACAAATCTATCTATCTCTGTCTATCTCTGTTTCTCTATCTCTTTCTATCTATTTCTCTAGCTATCTCTATATCTGTTTATTGATCTATCTATCTACCCATCTTTCTCTGCACTTAAAAGTTGCGATGTTCAATCCCCGAAAGTTGACTTCGCGTACTACTTTCGTACTTAAAAGTTGCGATTTTCGAGCCCCAGCTGCGAAACTGGACTTCACGTACTACTTTCGTAGTTAAAAGTTGCGATTTTCGAGCCCCAGCTACGAAAGTGGACTTCGCGTACTACTTTCGTACTAAAAAGTCGCGATTTTCGAGCCCCAGCTGCGAAAGTGGACTTTGCGTACTACTTTCGTACTTAAAAGTTGCGATTTTCAAGCCCCGGCTGCGAAAGTGGACTTTGCGCACTACTTTCGTACTTAAAAGTTGCGATTTTCAAGCCCCAGCTGCGAAAGTTGACTTCGCGTACTACTTTCATACTTAAAAGTTGCGATTTTCGAGCCCCGGCTGCTCAAATCTGTGCTTGACCTTGCTAAAGCGCTGCGCCTGCCACAAAATCTGTACTTGACCTTGCGAAAGTGCTGCGCGTGCCACGAATTTTGCACTTGACCTTGCGAAAGTGCTGCGCCTGCCACAAATTCTGTACTTGACCTTGCGAAAGTGATGCGCCTGCCACGAATTTTGTACTTGACCTTGCGAAAGTGCTGCGCGTGCCACGAATTTTGCACTTGACCTTGCGAAAGTGCTGCGCCTGCCACGAAATCTGTACTTGACCTTGCGAAAGTGCTGCGCCTGCCACGAATTCGTACTTGACCTTGCGAAAGTGCTGCGCCTGCCACGAAATCTATACTTGACCTTGCGAAAGTGCTGCGCCTGCCACGAAATCTATACTTGACCTTGCGAAAGTGCTGCGCCTGCCACGAAATCTACACTTGACCTTGGGAAAGTGCTGCGCCTGCCACGAAATCTACACTTCACCTTGCGAAAGTGCTGCGCCTGCCACGAAATCTATACTTGACCTTGCGAAAGTGCTGCGCCTGCCACGAAATCTATACTTGACCTTGCGAAAGTGCTGCGCCTGCCACGCAATTCAAAACCTTGCGAAACCTTCGCGCGGCCGTGCCAATGGTCCCGTCTCCGAGACCGTTCCGCACCCGTTCCGAACCCGTTCCGAGACCGCCGCCGTACAGGCGTCGCAGCCGAGGTGGTTTGCGCACTGTCCGGAAGCCCAATTCACGCACAGCGCCAACGTTTTCTGCATCTTGCCATCCCCCAGCTCGCAGAGTGTGCTTGCGAAAGTGCTGCGCCTGCCACGAAATCGATACTTGACCTTGCGAAAGTGCTGCGCCTGCCACGAAATCTATACTTGACCTTGCGAAAGTGCTGCGCCTGCCACGCAATTCAAACCTTGCGAAACCTTCGCGCGGCCGTACCAATGGGCCCGTCTCCGAACCCGTTCCGAGACCGTTCCGAGACCGTTCCGAGACCGCCGCCGTACAGGCGTCGCAGCCGAGGTGGTTTCTGCGCATCCGAGCCAATTCACCTGACACATAACGTTTCCATCTTGCCATCCCCAGCTCGCAGAAGAGTGGCGCGAGTGCTTGCGCCTTGCCACAGAATCTGTAAGCACGACCTTTGCAGAAATTGTAGAAATTGCTGCGCCAGCATCACAGAATCTGCAGCGACCTTGCGAGTGCTTGCGCCTTGCCACGCGATTTCAAACCTTTTTGAAACGCTGCGCGGCCGTGTATTGGTCCCGTCTCCGAGACCGTGGGCCCGTCTTCGAACCCGTTCCGAGACCGCCGCCGTGCAGGCGTCGCCCAGCCGAGGTGGTTTGCCGCCACGGTCCGGAAGCCCAGTTCACGCACAGCGCCAACGTTTTCTTGTCTCCATCCCCAGCTCGCAGAGAGTGCTTGCGAAGTGCTTGCGCCTGCCACAGAATCGATGCCAATGCGAAGTGCCAGTAACGCGCATATGCGAATCTACACTTGACCTTGCGAAAGTGCTGCGCCTGCCACGCAATTCAAACCTTGCGAAACCTTCGCGCGGCCGTGCCAATGGTCCC